CAGGCTTGGGAAACCCAGAGATGGGGTTCCCTGAGCTGACTGGTGGCCCTGGATCCTGACAAACCAATCCCATAATCCCTTCTGTGAAGATGCCAAGTTTAAAGGCTTCTGTAAGACACTTGGGGACCCTCCTACCTACACGGAGAAGCCTCCTTCCTTGAAGACTATAGACTCCAACAAATCTGAAACATGATCTCCAAGACCAGAGAGTAGACAGCCTGCCCCAGGTACACATCAAGAAGGTGGTCTCACTGTAGGGACCCCCAGAGCAGCAAGGAGTGGCTCCCTATTTGGAAAAGCTCCATGTGATCAACATTTTACCAGAGCCCAACCAAGGCAAGCCCAGTCTCCAGGACCTCTGCAAACATCTGGGGCATACTCCACGCCGAAGGTCAAGATGCTGAACCATCTTCAGCTCAGAAAGGCCTTTGCCATTACCTCCCTGCTCACTTTCTCAGGAATTAGGCCTTGACCTCTGCTCCCTCACCTGCCTGTTAAAAACCACACGGGGAACAGTTGTCCCCCCCCCCCGGGAACTGAGCCTATCTATTGAGGCTCTCTGTCAACCCTATCTGTCTTTTATTTTTGAAAAGGAAAAAAAAAAAAGGAGGGATAAACTCTGACGTCATGGGCTTGCGTAGGACAGCGGGGTTGGAGGCCATCTGGAGCAGGTCCTGGCAGAGCCCCTGGGAAAAAAGAAAGAGGGCAGCTGGCTCATCAGGTGGGGGTGTCCTGGGGTCAGACAAAGACCTCATGGCACCATTAGGTTAAGCTTTCCTGGAATTTCTGGCCCAGGACGGACGGATGACGCTTCCTTGGCCTCCAGCTCCTGTCTTAAAGCCAGGCCCTGTAGGTGTAGGACTCCTGGAGGAGGCCCCAAGTTCAGAAAGACCTGGCCAAGCTTTGGTCTCTGTGTCCACTGTGGGTCTCCACCACCAAACAGTCCTGGGGAGACTCAGGGGCCCAGGGTCCCCCCCCGCCCCGCTTTCCCCGGGAGTGTGAGTGTTTGCGCCGTGACATTCAGATTCTTCTTCTGCCCCAGCTGCTTGTCCTGCCTTTGTCTAGGGGTCGGAAGCCTCTTGTCAGGCCTCCTGATTCCCTCCACCCGCGTCCAGGAGGCAAGTACAGTTTTTTCGCAATTACAGGTGATGAAAGTGAAGGCCCAGAGCAGTGATAGGACTTGGCCAGGGTCCCGCTGAAATTTCCCTGCCCGGCCTCCATAGGATCTGCTCACCGCCTGTTCAGTGTCCTCTCTGGGAAGTTATGCAGCTGGAAGGAGGCCCCTGGGATGAAATAATTGCAGAGAAAACAGATGGACTGCAGAGGATCCCTCCCTTCCTCTGTGAGCCTGAGAATCCTCCTGCTTTGCCCCAGTGCCAGGAGGGGGCGCTGTTTCACAGAGAGCTGGTTCGCCCCTCCTGCCGTGGGGAACTGGACATTCTGTCTTAACCACCCCTTCCCCAGCTTCAGAGAAGCCCTTCTGCACACCTTTCTCACTGGAGGAATACTAATCAAGGCCCCCTTCATGTTCCATAGGGGCTGGGTAGCCGAGTGGACACCAACTCTCCCAAGGAAGGGCCGCATCCCTAGTAGGTGCAAGAGTCTCACCTTGCCTTCATGGAGGAGAAAAAGGGAAAAGGGACCCACAGGAATGGAGTCTTCTCTCTCCAAGTCTCTGCCTTTCAGAGGTCCAGGAGGGAGAAGAGGGTCCCAGCCGTGTGCCTCTCAGATGCTTGGGGTTTGGCACACTTTAGCCCGGCTCTGACTTTTCCCAGTTCCTGTTCCCTCTCTGTGCCTCCCCCCAACTGGCCACTCTCCCTCCGCCTCATCTTTCATGCCCGCCTCCAACCCAAATTTGCTTTTTCCTCCCCACCCTCCAGAGCACAATAGGCTCTCACCCTTGCCAGACAAGCCCTTCCCCCTCTTTATCACAAATGCCTCCAGAACCTACCTCTGCTGACTTGCCTCGCTCCCAACCCTGCCTCCTCTGGGTCTGAAGCCCCCACTTTCCTGAGCATGCAGGGCTCTGCAACATCGAGGGGCTGCCCTCCAGCTTCCCTCCGTTTCAAGGACTTGCCCTTTGGCGAGGCCGCTCATTGTTTTTCTTTTACTGCAACCCTCTGAGCCTGGGTGCGCTCCACGGTGTTAGCCCATAGGGCGTCACTGCTTTCTCCTCCGGCCTGCCAGGTCCCTTCCCTGCTCAGCGCAGACTTTTCCTCTCCAGGAAGCCCGCCCTGCTAGCCCAAGCTGGGGGAGCTGCCCTCCCTCCCCACCATTGTCCTTTTCTGCCTATAAAGCTGGTGGCTGTTTCCAGGGGTCCTTCCCTGCAGGGATGGGACTCCGCAGGCTGCCTGGGTGCTCGGCAGATACTTGGGGTATCGGTGGGTGGATAAGTGACACATGACAGGAGTCCCTACAGAACTGCCAGACTCCTGAGTGGCCTTTTCTCTCTCTTTTGCCATTGGCAGGAGTTTTCACGCTGAGCGTTCAATAACGTGCTGCCAACAGTTCCTGTTCAGCTGCTCAGTGGGTCCAACTTTCCCAGGCCTGGCCCCTGGGGCCAGCGCAGAAAAAGCAGACCTCATGAGGGAAAAGCAGGAAGGAGGAACTTGAGTCCCCATTCTAGCCCCGAGAGGGAGAGAGCTTCCTCTGCATCTCGCTGTGGGAGGAACCCAAGGCACTGACATGCTGACTACCTCCTTCCCTGAAGGTTCCTCCAGCCTAGTCCTGGAACTGCTCTCCACCGCACCTTCCGGCAGTTAAGCAGGAGCTGCTCCCTGGCCTGCCCCAGGAAGCCTCGCTCCACAGGTGACTGTTCCTGGATCCGGTCTGCGGCAAATGATCACAGCCCAGTGGTCAGCAGTGGGGGCTCACCAGAAGATTCCACTTCCAAAGAGGGAAAGTAGAGACTGAGACTCTACCCACACGGGGGTGGGGTTGGGTGGGGTTGGTTTATTCAATTTAGTCTCAAAGCTCAAAGAGAGGGGAGACTTAGATAGTTAGCCAGCTGTCACCAAGTATGTCCAAGGGACGCAAAAGACAGGAAGAACCAGCCTGCAGACATTCAGACAGAAGGAGGTAACCACTGTGCACCAGAAGCTTCCAGCCTGTCCTTAATGAGGGGTTTCAGAGGAGGTAGCTGTTGTCCCCTGGAAACGAGCCCCATGCCTGGCCCTAGTCAATCTGCCCAGCTCCTTAAACAGGTGTAAATAAAGCAAGTCTCAGGGAAGTTCCAGATTGGTAGCATTCTCCTTTCATCAGTAGGCAAAGAGGAGAGAAGACCTCCATCACCTACCCAGAAATCCCTCCCTCTTCCCCCTTCTTGCTCCTCTTCCTGACTCCTCAGATGAAAGAGTGGTGCCACTCTATGGGTGTTACCAGGGAGCAGCAATCAGGGGGGCTGCATGGAAGTGGTGAATCAACTCACCAGAACTCCCAAAGGATGCCCTGTCAATGTCTGAATCCTCTTCCGGGCTCAGAAATTCTGCTACCCCGAACTCAGACCTCGGGTGCGGGTTATTTCCTAAACAAAGGGACCTTGGGCTTGGTGGTTGTGCAGTCCTAGGTGGGAGGGAGAGAGCCTGAAGGGACGGTGTGCCATTGCCTCCTGCCGTCTAGGCCCAGCTGTGGGAACTAGCCACGTGGCACCTGATTCCCCCTGCTCTTCTCGACTGTCACTGCCCTGTGCCTTGGCCACAGCTTCCGATCCCTGAAACAACTCCTCCAGGCACCTGCATCTGGCTGTGGTCTTCTTGCCTAGGGACCGCCCCCGTGCCCCTGTTGTGTGCTCTCCAGCAGAGGTCCTGCTGGGTGGCAGTGGGATCATACACTTCGGCACCTGGCTCAATTCTTGAGGTGCCCATCCCCAAGGGACTCCTCAGAGCTCAAAGGCACCAAGACACCCTGCCCCAGGAGAGGGAGTTGTGAGCCGCAGGTATAAGTGACTTTTAGTCCCGACAGCTTCAGCACAGATCTCTCCGAGGCTGAAAACAACGAAGGCAACCGCCTATCACAGTTCACGGAAGCCACACTGGGCTCGAAGCTGGGTAAAGCTCCCTCCCCAGCCCGTGCAGGTGCACAGGACACCGCAGCGAACATCCTCACGCTGCGGTTCCTCGGTTCCTCGCGTGGGTGCAGACAGACTCGGGCGCGCACCCGTGAGCGCACACGGAAGCCATCCGCCGGGTCAGGGCGGTTCTGTGCGGCGGACGCAGGCTGAGCGCGAACTTAGAGCCACAGTGACGGGTACAGGATGCTACTGCACATACGCACCGGCACCACTATCTCGGGCCTGCCATCTTAGCCCATCTCTTCGCGATTCACTCTCAAACACACCCGCAGGCGAAAAGCTTGCCCTCTCCGGTGTAGGACTTGCGCTCCCCCCTGCGGCCCCCGGGCAAACCTCGCTCTCCCTGCGCCTCCCGCCCAGACCTCCGCCCCATCCTCCGCCTCCCTAACTTAAAGACGTTGGTGCGATCTGAACTCCCGAGTAGGTGAAAGGTGGAGCCGCAGAACCAGGCCTGCACCTGTCTGGTGCCCAGGGAAGAGTTTGGCAACAAGACAGATCTGCGTGGATTTCGGGCTGGGCCAACTTTACCGCTGTGCGGCTTTGGGCAAGTGACTTAGTTCCTCTGAGCCTGTCTTTGCAGCTGCACAGAGGGAAACTGATCCCTTCTAGGGAGAGCGCGTGTGTTGAGGTCCAAGTGTGTGTGCAGGGCACCGGGAGCACCAACGCTTGGCACGCCTGGCACGCGCTCGCTGCAAATGGAGTTCCCCCTGTGCGCGCCGCTTTGCAGCCGCGAGTGCAGCAGGAGAGAGCTGGCGGAGCCGCGGGATCCCTCCGGGGCTGGGATGGAGGTGGGGGCAGTGGGGGAGCCCCCGCGGCCCCCTCCGGGCCCTCGGCGCGCGTGCCATTGGCCCGGGCGGCCGGGTGGGCGGGAGGATGACATCAGCGGCAGGTTGGATTATAAAGGCGCGAGCGGAGCCGCGGGCTCAGAGCGCACCCAGCCGGCGCCGCGCAGCACTGGGACCCGCGCCCGCACCGCAGCCCGGCCCGCCTGCTCCGCGCTCGCCTGCCTGTCTGCCCGCCGGCCCCGTGCGCCCTCGCTGCCGCGGGTCTGCGTCCCTCGACCCCACCGGCACCATGCACCTCTCCCAGCTGCTGGCCTGCGCCCTGCTGCTCACGCTACTCTCGCTCCGGCCCTCCGAAGCCAAGCCCGGGGCGCCGCCGAAGGTAGGTGCTGTTGCATGGACAGCGGGACTGTGAGGGGCCATGGGAGGGCTGGGGGCCTAGGAGGATGCGGCGCACAAGAGGGAGCAGAGGGCGGGAAGGCGGCCCTCTTCTCCGAGTTGTGCACGGGTGAGAGCCGGGGAGCCGTCGAATCCAACTCGGGGGGTCTAGGTCCCCAGCCTCGGGAGAGCGTCGACAGATGCGCAGCCCCTGCCCCAGTGTGGCCAGCCCGGCAGGGGGCAAAGAAGGGGAGGGCAAGGGGCTCCCGAAGGAGCGGACAGCGGCGGCTGCGTGGCAGGTGGCTGCCGGGCCAAGCTGTCCGGCGTCTGTGGGGGCGCGCTCAGGGCTCGGAAAGGACAAATCGCGCTGGCGGGCGCGTCGGGCTGGAGCATCAGGGGTCCCGCAAAGTACCTCGCGCTGCCGCCGGGCGTCCCTTCACCTGCCCGCCCTTTCCCTCGGACAGGTCCCGCGAACTCCGCCGGGAGAGGAGCTGGCTGAGCCCCAGGCTGCGGGCGGCGGTCAGAAGAAGGGCGACAAAACTCCCGGGGGCGGAGGCGCCAACCCCAAGGGCGACCGGTCGCGACTGCTCCGCGACCTGCGCGTGGACACCAAGTCGCGGGCGGCGTGGGCCCGCCTTCTGCATGAGCACCCCAACGCGCGCAAATACAAAGGAGGCAACAAGAAGGGCTTGTCCAAGGGCTGCTTCGGCCTCAAGCTGGACCGGATCGGCTCCATGAGCGGCTTGGGATGTTAGTGCGGCGACCCCTGGCGGCGGTGAGTACCACCAACCCTGGCGGCCCGGAGCTTGTGCACACCTAGCTCCCCCGCGGCGCCCGCCAGAACCAAGCCTGAACCCCCACCCCACCCCCACCCCCCGCCGTCCGCAGGCCGATCCCTCTCTGATCCCCTGGCGCTGGGATCGTTCCGCCTCCCAGCCGACCTTTGGAGGCGAGCCAGGCGATCCCAGCACGAGAACCGGTGTGTGTGCGTGGCATTTGCCCCCAACCCCATTGATCGTCCCATTTTACAGACGAAAAAAGTGAGGGATAAAGCGGTCAGGGAACTTTGGCAAGGTCAGAAATGGCTCAACGCGGATGAACCCACCTCACTTCCTTTAGAGAAGCAGAGACAACTTGGTGGGGTCCTGCCCACTCCCCGAGCATAAGCCAACCAGCGGAACTGGTCCCAATCGGCCATTTGAGTGTATTGAGGGGAGATGACGGGTTTGTGGGAGCAGAGAAGGAAGGGCAAACACACAAGCGGAGGGTAAGTTTATCTACCAGCCACTGGTATCGTGGTGCCCAGGCATTAAGCAGCCCAGAGGTCAGGGCTGCTTCCCGGGACTAATTTGGATATACTTGGAGAAATACCTGCCCCTTCACAATAGAGAGAATAGCCCTCTGTCGGCATCACCAAGATGCCCTTCTGCCCCAGAGCTTTCTGATTCTTACTCCTTCTCTAAACCGTGGCTGTGAGCAGACTGGTCTGTCCAGGGTCCTGATGCTGCTTCCTGCCTGCAAGACTTCAGGATGGAAACTCAGTGTTCGAGGCATTATTTCAGGGCAGGGAAAAAGACTAAAATAAATCTTTTTTTTTTCTTTTGCCCCAACCTGGACCTCAGCATGTCCCAAACGGCTGCTCACCATCTCCCCGCCTCCATCATGCCTGGGACCCCTGTTTCTGGCGTGTCCTCCACAACCTCTACTAGGGCTGGAAACTCCTGTGCTCCCTTCAGCCCCTGCCCGGTGCTGCATCCTGGCAGTGTTGCAAAGACCCTCCCCTCCTCCCCCCTCCTGTCCGTCCCTGCTGCCCATCAGTTCTCACGGAGAAACAGAGCCCACCTCTGAAAGTGACATTCAAGTGCTTTAGGATCTGACTCTTTTTGGCATCCAACATTTCCCGGCAGCCTCACGGCTGCCATTCTGGATCACACAGCCTGTCTGTCCCACTCTGAGACCACGGGGAAGCGGCTCTCTTACCCTGGAAGCCTTGTCAGCCTCCACGCTGTCTGCCCCCAGAGGGCAACAAGAGCGCCCCTCTTTGAAGCTCTCCAGCACATTGCCTAAGCCTTTTTGACAGCACGGAACCCTTTTTCAACAGAGCCATAGTTGCTTGGGTACCTATTTAGCTCCTCCAGATGAACTCATGAGCAACTTGAGGGCCAAGTGCTAGCCAAAGGTGATCTGGAACCCACGGCAGCCCAAAGAGGCTTTTAAAAATATTTGTCAATGACCAGAGAAACATGCCCCCCCCACCCAGCTTAGGGGCATCCCTCTCCCACCTGCCTTGGGCTTTAGCAGGGTTTCCCCTCTGTACAGCCAGACCTGACTGTGTGTTCCCCTCCATTTCTGCAGGGGCTTCATTTGTCTGAGATCTTGATTCACCCCTGCCCAAGAAAAGGTGATTCTGGCCTTTCGTAGCTTCCATTGTGGTGGTTTTGGTCTCTTCCGTCCTGTCTAAACAATGAAGAGATGGAGCTACAGGCTTCACATTTTTAGTTCATGTTGATTTAAGCACCGACCTCAAACTTTAGAATCTAAACAAATGTTATTCAATGGGTTAGCAGGAGACAAGATGAGGAAGGGGACCTGGAAAGTGTCTGGCGTGCACGTCCCCCTAGGCTCCTTGTTCTTGGGTGTGGCCGGCTAAGGAGGTGCTGGGCAGGAGGCCAGATTGCTAGGATGCTCAGCCCCTTTGATGAGGGCAATTTGTCGACCTCCCAGAAGTTCTGTCCTTAACAGCCACCTCCAGCACCTTAACCTTCTCAGCCCCACCCTCACACCACAGCCGTCAGGATAAGACAGAGCATCCTTCCTGTTGCCAGCAGCCTCCTAGCAGAGACGACCCAGGCAGCTCACTGTCTCAGCTTCAAAGACAAAGACAGCTTAGATTTTTCACATTCATGAAAACTCATCCCAGGCTGTGGCCATTTCTTCACTCAGGAGTTGACTTTGGCTCTAAGCAGCCACCATAATGACTGTCGCTGACGGTTACAGTCTTGTTTATAAAATTCTAATGACAGAGACGGGGTGTGGCCGATGCCTGAATGAACACCTTGCCCAGGAGCCCCAGGGACATCCCAGACATCTGTCATCTGTTTAAACACATAGGGCAGCCAGAGACGGGAGTTGAGGGACAGTTCACCAAGGCCCAGGGTCCCTGTGCGTGTGCTGGCCTCTGGGAGGGCACCACACCGTCTCAGGGGGACTCCTTCCTCGGGCCCCAGAGCACCCACACGCCCATTAGCAGAGAGCCGGTAGAGCCCTCAGCAAAGGACTCTTTTAACTCTCAACCCAGCGAACCCAGTGTGACCATTCCTTGCCCCAGGGCTGGCGTGAGACCCCACTTCCTCTGCGTCTGAAGGGGACCCTTTCTGCGGCGCAGCGAGCTACAGACGGAAGTGCTATTTAAGGAGGGGCAGCTTGACCCAGACACTCTGCCAGTGCCCAACGTGTGGCCCCCTGTTGAATCGTAAAGCCGGCCCTGGGGAGGTGGCTATTATTCCATTTTATGGGTGAGGAAAGCAATACTCAAAGCTACCCAGGGCCATCCAGGAAGTTAATGTCAGAGTTGGGATTCGAGCCCAGAACTCCCAACTCCTCAGATGGGTGTCTTCTCCTTCCCTCAGCTGTCACGCAGACACAGAAAGCCGAGGCAAGCAGCTCGTGGAGGGTTTGTGTCATTAGCAAAAAAAGGAAGGAGGGCATTTGCCCTCTCCTCTCCTCCCCGTGCCTCACCCGGTGCCAAGGGCCGGGCCTGCAGGGAGCCTGAGGGGAAGGAGGGCTGGCAGACATCCTGGTTCCACCTGCGCTGGGGCGGGAAGTGCCAAGGACACAGCAGATTAGGTGAGGGGCCCCTTCCCCGCTCCAGGACAGCCTTGTCCAGGCTAGTCGGCCCAGGTGGGACGCAGCTTCACACTGCTCGGCAAAAGGGCCTGTCCTGCAGGCTGGGCTTCTCAGCTAAGTGTCCCGTGTCCCCTCTGTGTTTCAGGATCGGGAACTTGCTGAGGTCATTCTTGGTCATCAGCCTCACAGCATCTGGAAGCACCTCCAACGCAATGTGGCTTTTACATTTCCTTTTTTTTTTTTTCCTGGTACTAGGAATACACAACACCAGCTGTTTTATTATTATTTGGGAAGGGGGGGTATGATTTTATTGTTTGGGTTTTTTTAAATGAAAAATAAAAAGTTATATATTATATATATATTATATACATGCAACACACACCTACACAAACGTGATGACAAGGGACAGTTTTTAAGAGACTGACAAAACCAGCTGTAAAACGTTGCTGTTTGTAAATTCATCTCATGCATAAATGTATTTATGTTGTAAAGCTATTTATATTGTTTATAAAGAGATATTTATAAAAATTTTATTTATGTAACTAAATGAAAGAAGTCAATCATTGTAATGTTTTTGTCTTAACTAGTGGAAAAATGTAAAAAAAAAAAGTCATTCCATGAACATCTTGAAAACTGTCTTTATTTACTTCATTTATTGTTTAGATATTAGTCTGAGGAAGAGGGGAAATGTGAAGACAAGGCTTTTGCCTTTCTTCCCTCCAGCTGTAGGTTCAACCAGTTTCCCGATTCTGGATTTGTTTGTATCAGAATCCCCTGGGGATCCTGGGGCGCTTGGGTGGCTCAGTTCTATCCTTCCTGGCTTTGAAACCTTCAGCGATTTCCCCAGGTAGTATTACCCAAGAAATTCCAGTCCTCTGGTCTGGGTCTTGGTCTCCCCCGTCTCCACAACCACTTTGCCTCCAAAGCTGCCTGGGGAACCCACAGTTTCTGTCCCATGCAGGGTGACCACCACAGCCAGGACCACCTGGAAGGTATGGCTCCAGAGAGGTACCATCCCTGCACCTACCATGGAAGTGATGGGAGCACTAAGACAGAGTCTCCAGATCCTCTGCCAGGCACGTGGTTCCAGGAGTCTACCTCTGCCCCTCCACACACCCAGGACGTGGGAGGTCCTCTGGTGATAGCCATGACCCCAAAGGGGTGGTCCGAAATGGACTGCCCAGGAGCAGGGAGCCTCTGGGGGTGATCAGAGAGATGACAATGTCTGGACAGGCTCAGAGCCTGGAAAGGGGCAGACTGAGGAGCCCCCTCTCTTAGGGACCATGTAAGTGGGGAGGGTCCCATCAGAAACGGAATTTGACTCAGACGGTTCACATGAAGAGGCTTTACTGAAGGTACTACTCACAGAGGTGTGGGCAGGTGCCACCGAGGAGCCAGGGGGTGGTCGCTTCTTCCCCTGGGAGGAAAGGAGGAAGCTGTCCCTGAGTTGGAGCTGGGTGAAGGGGGTGTCCTATGGAAGCTGGGCCATGGTGCAGGACGTGTCCCCAAAACAGGGAGAAATACCCCAACCTCTGTCTCCCCTCCTTGCTCTCTCTCTTGCTGGTGCCTCACAGGCTGGAGGCTGAGGCTGGGAGGCATTTCTCTCTCTGGTACCTTAGTAAGGTCCGTCCTTCCTGATCCCTCCTGATTCTGACATCACATTGTCTGTCAGTCACTTCAGAGTGCTAGGAGTTTGGGTCCCCATCTACACCTTCCTGTATGTGTGGCCCTCTCCAGAAACAGTTTTGGAGCCAGGAACTGTTTGCCAACAAAGTACATTTCAGATTTGCGAGGGGCAGAAGTTTACCTACTTCATTAATGTTTTTCCCTTTTTCATGGTACCGGGACACAGGCTCTTAATTAATTCCACTATTTGGCCATTTTCTGATCTGAATATTTTTGCTCATATATTTTTTTACTTAGTAATGTCATCTACATTGGTTTTCTTAACAACTCGCTCTAAATTTGTAATTGAACATTGATCTCTGAGTATGGCTGAGTGTCACTGCCACTTAAGGACTTCCTACATCGCATGGCCTGTATTTCCTAGTAAAGTCTTTTTTATCTGATATGAACATTATCAGTCCAACTTTATTTTTGTTTGTGCTTGGTATCTTTGCCCAAACTTGGATTCTTCCCCTTGCTGTGAATTTTTTTTATTTAGGTGTGTTTATCAAGTTTTAGATTAAAATATACGTAATTTGAGACATTTTGGAATTTAATAAGGAAACTAGATTGTTCACATTTGCCGTCATTATTGCTTATTCTCGGGCCAACTTCTTCGTCTGCATTTTAACTCTGTTTTTAAGGTTCTTTAATTTTTTTTGTTCCTTTACATTTATTTTTTTTTTTCTGTAGACTGTTTTGCTTGCTTTTATCTTCTGCAATGATTTGGAAAGTAGACATCCTGTTTTTAATTCTGTTAGTGGTTCCATTTATTTTTTCATGAAAATTATTAAACCCACATTTATATTATTATCAAAATCAAAATCACGAACAATAACTGCAGGCTCCTTCACAAGAGAGACAAAGAATTTAGCCCATTTATTTTTTCCCTGGTCTCTGTCCTTTCTGGATCTCCATTAACATAATCTGAGGGCACTCTCCTCAACTAGACCATTAAAACCACCAAAACATCCTCTCTCGGAAATTCCTTCAGCTTTCTGTTGCCCCATTGCAATCAGATATCTAGACCTTCGACCCTAACCCTCTTCCCCAGATGGGGTCCCATTGCATACTATCCCTTTCCCTGGGCTGGCTTCTCTACCCACTGCCTGTCTCCACGGTCATTGATGGGGGGGCTCCAGCTGGTCTGGGGTTTCCATTTCAGCCCCAGGGTATGGTATGGTGTGTGTGTGTGTGTGTTGTATGTGTGTGTATGTATGTTGGGGGCATATGGTGTGGTGTGTGTGTTTATGTTGTGTGTGGGGGGGTGTATGTTCTGTGGTGTGTGTGTTTGATGTATGTGTAGGGTGTGTGTGTGTGTGTTGTGGGGGGCTGTATGGTGTGTGTGTGGTGTGTATTGTGTGTCTGTGTGGTGTGTGTGCATGCATGTGTGTATAATGTATGTGTAGGGTGTGTGTGTGTGTGTGTTGGGGCTGTATGGTGTGTGTGTGGTGTGTATTGTGCACGTGTGTCTGTGCAGTGTGCGTGCGTGCGTGCATGTATGATGTATGTGTAGGGGTGTGTGTGTGTTGTGGGGGCTGTATGGTGTGTGTGTGTGGTATGTATTGTCCATGCGTGTCTGTGTGGTGTGCGTGTGTGCATGTGTGTATGATGTATGCATAGGGTGTGTGTGTGTGTGGTGTGTATTGTGTGTCTGTGCGGTGTGCATGCGTGCATGTATGATGTATGTGTAGGGGGTGTGTGTGTTGTGGGGTCTGTATGGTGTGTGTGGTGTGTATTGTGCACGCGTGTCTGTGTGGTGTGCGTGCATGCGTGTGTGTATGATGTATGTGTAGGGTGTGTGTGTGTGTTGTGGGGGCTGTATGGTGTGTGTGTGGTGTGTATTGTGTGTCTGTGTGATGTGCGTGCATGCGTGCGTGTATGATGTATGTGTAGGGTGTGTGTGTGTGTGTTGTGGGGGCTGTATGGTGTGTGTGGTGTGTATCGTGCACGCGTGTCTGTGCGGTGTGCGTGCGTGCGTGTGTGTATGATGTATGTGTAGGGTGTGTGTGTGTGTGTGTTGGGGCTGTATGGTGTGTGTGTGGTGTGTATTGTGTGTCTGTGCAATGTGCGTGCGTGCGTGCGTGTATGATGTATGTGTAGGGGGTGTGTGTGTGTTGTGGGGGCTGTATGGTGTGTGTGTGTGGTGTGTATTGTGTGTCTGTGCGGTGTGCGTGTGTGCATGTGTGTATGATGTATGT